TCCAGGGAAAGGTTGGATCACCCTGGCATGGTGGGAGGTGTCCATTGCCGTGGATTGGGATGAGCTGGAACATCCCGAGGATGAAAATTTTCGGAAAAGATTCCCACATTCCCAACCCCCTCTTCCCTGCCCTTGCCCTCCCTCCATGGAATCCTGGGAATTCTGGGCTGGGATGAGAATTCCAACCCCATCCTCGGGATTTTCCATCCATGAATCCGTTCCCAATCCCGTTTTTTCCCTCCTTTTTTCCCCCCCACCCATGGGAGTTTCCTTTTCCAACCCCGTGGATGCAGGGAGTTTGCCCCAAATCCAGGGAATGTTTTCCATTAAAAAAACCCCACAAAAATTTGGAGGTTTTACCGTAAAAAAATTCATTTTTTTCCCGGCTTGGAAATCCAACAAATTCTTTTGTAATATGAAATAATATAGTATAATAAATTAATTAAATTCAATTAATTTATTATGCTATATTATTTTTTATTATGATTTATATTTTTATATTATGTTTATGTTTATATTTATATTTATATTATTTATATTTATATTTTTATATTTTTTATTTTTTTTATTTTTATTCTTATTTTTATTTTTATTCTTATTTTTATTTTTATTTTTTATGTTTATATTTATATTTCTACTTATGTTTATATTTATATTTATATTTATATTTATATTTATATTTATATTTATATTTATATTTATATTTATATTTATATTTATATTTATATTTTTCTATTTCTATTTCTATTTATGTTTCTATTTCTGTTTTTATTTCTATTTCTATCTATATTTATATTTTAAAATTACTTTTATTTTTATTTTTCTATTTCTAGTTCTGTTTCTATTTCTATTTCTATTTTAAATCATTTTTTATATTTTTATATTTTTACATTATTTCATCCTTTATTTTTTTATTTTTAATTTTTTTTTAATTTTTTTTTTTTTTGGTGCAGCACGAGGAGGCGGCGGGGCCGAACCGGAGCCTGGTGCAGAGGGTGCAGGAGCTGGAGCAGCATTCCCGGGAATCCAGCACCCTGCAGCACATCCAGGCCACGCTGCTCTCCGACATCCAGGCCCAGCTCAACAACGTCTCGGCCTGGGCAGAGCGGGCCTGGGCAAAGCCCGGCTGCCCCCGGCCCGCACACGTGCGCAGGGAGATGGAGAATGCCGGTACCGGGAATGGTGGGAATGATGGGGGGAATGATGGGAATGATGGGGATAATGGGAATGATGGCGGGAATGATGGGAATGAGGATGGGGACGATGGGGATGATGATGGGGATCATGATGGGAGTAATGGGAATGATGGGAATGATAATGGGAGTGAGGATGGGGATGATGGGAACGATAATGGGAATGAGGAT